TCATTACATACATACATACATACATACATACATACATACATACATACATACATACATACATACATACATACATACATACATACATACATACATTTATTAATATGATAATATACACATATACATAGGCCTACATAATTATTAGGCTACACACAATACAGAACGCTTTATTTTACAATGCCATTGCTAGCCGCCACTGTGCAGCGCCCTGTTTGTTGAGTTAAGGATGTCGTGTCTTGCTTAAGGACACACCCCAGTGACTACCCATCTGACTGTTACACATGGAGACCTTCGTTATTTCAATTCGTTTGGTTAAATACAAAAAAAAAAAGATTGCATTGACGCATCGATGAACTGTCGATTGTATAAGGGACGTAACAAAATGAATATTTTTGAATAGGTAAAAAAAATATACTTATGTCCCCTGTGCAAAACATTTCGCGCATCCAAAGATATATTATTATTTATAGAAAGGTCCTTGCGCACATCCCATAAAATCAAGACAAGATCTGATCGAACCGAAAGACCCAAATTCTCTGCTTCAGAGTATTAGTGGATGTTCCAGTTTCTTTAAAGTTTTCAAGCGGTATGGATCTGTATTAGAATGATATTCTACTCAGAATTAGCAGGTTCCTCACGTTTTTAACGAGCGAGAAGTAGGCCCTAGAGCTTAATTGAGTATACTTCTATTCACAATTCGTGAACAGAACCTTTTCACAACGCTATTAGTTAGTGGAGGGCTGTTAAACATAGTTATAGACTTAAGTGATTTCGTACAAATTATGTTGTACCAGAATAATATGAGACCGAAACGCTGTGCGAGAATAGAAATCTAGTTTTAAGAGTTATGTCCCCTTAGGCCTATTTGTAAAGAAAAATATTATGCTGGAACCGAGTACGCTGCTGACTGCTGTGATGTTTGACCGACTTTTTTACTTCAAAGGTAGGGCTTGCCCTTTTCTGTAAGAAACAAAATGAATTATGTGTGGACAAATTATTTTTGCATATGATTCAAATGGTCTACTTGTATGTGTATTTTGCATTGTTGCAAGGTCAGTTTGAATCTGGAAATAAGGAATGCTGATGCCATGATTATTTAGCCTCCTAAATTCGGCCATGACCCTACATTTTTTTATATTATTATTCTTGCCCATGGTTCTGCAATGGCAAGCAAATGGACCAATGCCAGCCGGTAGTGATAGCGACACAGAAACATCTTGTTTTCCGTGCCTTGTCCTTTTTATATCGTACTGTTAGTTAATGATGCAATCATTCGGCGATATAGCCCTTCTGAGGCCTTCTGTTCACTTTTTTTTGTGCATCTCTAGAAGTTACACTCAGGCTTAGAGGCAAACTACAAGTAGCCTACATCTAGGCTGCACCACATTACGAATGACCAACCACTACCGGCATCACCTGTTTCAATACCAATAGATCTAGATCTTATATATACTGCTTAAACCCTCAGCAAAGGCCTCTTTAGGAGTTTTGAACTGTATATTCAATAGGCTATGTTTCTCAATTTGAAGAGTTGTTTCGCAAATTATCAGGCCAATTTTTGTGTAAGTGTGTAAAATTTAGTTTTGTTAGCCTGTTTTTCAAAAACTTTTATTTGTTTGTTTTCCTTCCTAGCTAGGGGCTCTTTGGAAATTGCCTTCCCGTTTGTTTACATAAGATACAGAAGTCAATTGCAAACAAAAGTAGCCAGGCAAAGTGAACCCCACCACATTAGTCAGTAATATTTTTCTGCCTTTTTTGTATTAAAAATTTATTTTGGCCAGATTGAACTTTGGTGGACCCTCTGTGTTTACATGTAGTGTATTAATGTGCACTAGCCATAACAGTGGAGGGTTTCAGGGGGGCTTGCCGGCAAAAATAATATTAAAAAAAACCCACTCAATCTTCACGTTTACATGGCAAATTATCAATTGGAACGGAAAGGCAATTTCCAAAGAGCGCCCCGAGTTAGATATAGGTTTTTCACGACTGCAGATCATTTAGTTGTAGTAATTCAGGCAGAAAACATTTTTTATCAAGTCTCTAGATGTCTGTTTAGTTCTTGCTTGATTGAGTTATATCATTTTTTATCATTTTTCACACGGGCAATGGCAATGTAGAGATCTAGATCTACTTATATATATATATATATATTTATATATATATATATATATATATATATATATATATATATATATATATATATACGATAATTTTTTTTAAAGAGGCTAAGTCAGAATAAAAATAAATATCATTTGCAAAATTATTTTACAACATTGCAAAAAGTCAAACAGTGTTGTTTGAATGAAAACATGATCTAGATTTATATGTCTCTGTTTACTAAAAGTAAAAAGGTTGGGTGGGGAAATTTTTAAAATTTCGTGCTGCGATTAATTAATTATATGGATTAATTTAGGAAGTGATGATTATTTTAGAAACAGCATTGCAGTTTGCATGTCTTCCCCCCCTCCCTCGACAAAGATTCCTCTCCAGGTCTGGTCCCTTATAAAGTTCCCTTTTTTCCCTTGCACTTTTTCTGTCCCTATAATGACCCAAGAAAATGATATCATCACTTTCAGAATTTCGTTATGTGTGCTCTTTGGAATCGAATGAATTCATCTTAACAGTTGCTTAAAGTGGTCATTTTCCTTGCCCATCTTTTAATTTACTGCTATTTGTGTAACTGACTCTGCACATTTTTTACTTCTCTAATGGAGGTAGTCATTTTTTTGTCTTTTTGACCCTTTGTTCTTCTTTTTGGACAGGAAAGAATGTAGATTTTATTCCTCTGTAGTACTGGTTTACCAGAGTTGGTGGTGAGTCGAGGAAAAGCCTGTTGTGGCAGTTTGCAGTATGCGTGCGTTGCGGAGGACTTCTAGCGGACGATCTGTGTCGACGCCTGTACTGTCTTTTGTGCTGGTTTTTACAGCTGGCGGACTGGTAGACTCTGTAACAGGTATGCAAGTTTTTGTTGATGTTCTTTCAACTTGACTTAGAAGTGAGTTTTGTGTTTTCAATCTTCCATGCCATGCTTTTGAAGTTTTGATGGGTGGTTGGAAGGCTCCACCGCTATGTCCTACTTCTTTTCTGTACCTCTGTTGTGTCTCTCGGTCTTACTTTTTCTCTACGCTGAATGACAGTTATTGTGTGGATATGCTTCTGTTAATTTTAACAGACAAACAAACGAAATTAGAAGTTACAGTAGTCTCTTTCTAAATGTGCGATGAATGGGAGGGCTCGTAAGGGTGCTTTTGTGCCTTTATCTGGAGTATACATTTAATTTACATGAACCCATACAAGCAGAGGACAAAGATAAATGGCGAGAGCTGGTTTGCAGATGCAGTGGTGCCCCCACGGTTGCCACAACCACGGGGTAGAAGAAGAAGAAGATACAATGGTGGGGAAAGGAATGCAGCCATCTAATTTCCTTGATATTTTACTAGTGATTACTGGAATATCCCTTGGGATGGGGGGGGGGGGTAGAAAAGTCGGGTCGCTTTCACCAATAATGTGCTGTAACATGACATTTACAAAGGATTTCTCTATTGCAGTTACATCTATAATAAAGGTGTTGAATGAGAGGTAGAAATAAGCAGAAAGATCGACTTGTTGTACTAATGTGCACTATTATGTCGAGAACAGATAAACAGAAACTGTTGATAACGGTCATAGGGAAGAGCACTCACCCATGTGACTTTCCAAGCGACCACTCCCTATTACCTGTTATGATCTGCTACAACTTGGTAAATGCATGGATGACATTGGACATTCTGAGAGATTTTTCTTTAGTGGTGATTCATTGAACAAGTATGTTATAAGTTCTTCGAGAACAGATGATCACTTGACAATTCATTAACACTTTAAACCCTGAGGTTTTTTCCACCGTTTCCCTGAGTTTTTTTCGACTGTCCCTTTAAACCGGTGCACTACGTCTCATTATAACCCGAAAAGCTTGCTTCCAACTTCTAAATGGGGGAAACAAAGGCTTAGACATTACTAAAAAACTTGGGTTTGGGAATAGTTCCGAAAAACAGGGAAAAACTAGCACTAAATGAAACGAAACAGTTGTCACTAGAATTGGACGCTCACAGTGTCCTTTGGGGAATAGGGTTATGAATGCCGGGAGCGTCCGATGGGGTTTAAAGAGTTAATCCTGTTGGCCTGTCTTGTGCTCTACAGCATTCACATGTCTTGGGTATTGTTGGCATATAACTAAACATTACAGTCCCCCACACCCCAACACCAGTGAGAAACCTTCTCTCAAAGACACATTTGGAGTGACCAATCAAAAGACATTTCAGTCACATACCCCACCCCCCCAATACCACCCATTCCTATGTATTCATAGGATGTGAACACGCTGTCCATCACTTTTATTGTGCTGCGCAAGGAGCAGCCTTGCTATCCGGGTATCTTGACTTGTCTTTCTTATCATAATGCATTTTTCTAGGTTGTTGCAAAGATTCCTTTGTCAAGTTTTACCTGTCGTTTGTATTTCGCTGAACTAAGATTTCTAACCATGCATTTAGAGGAAGTGACCATGCGTTTGTAAATCTTTATTGTATAGTACAAAAAACCCATCATAATATGACAAAAGCATGGTTTGAGCGGAGCATGCCTTTGTATGGCGTGTATATAGTGAGAAACTACTGTAATACTTGTTGCGGTTTACAGTTAAATTTTGTCTTAGTTAAAGTCAGAGGATTAAGTTATGATTGTGGTTGGTTGGCGGGTGCTCTGGTGTGGTTTGCTTCTTCTTTCCTATCAAACATCAATCATTCTTATCTCCCCTTCTTCTTTTTATGTTTGTTACTCTCTTGTCTTCTGGCGCTCATATGACCTTATGCAGTTGCGAGCACTGTAAATCTTCTACTAAAACAAACATATGTTATGATCAGAGATGTTGAAGAGGAGATGATGCTTTGGAGGAGATATTGATAAATGATACTAAAGTAATTGTGTGGAGTGTCTGATCTCTGGGACTCAGAGCGCTTCGCATTTTGTTGTTGTCTGAAAGTAAACCGTGGTTGTGAACATCTATCTTGCAGGTGATTGAAGGGTGCTTTTAGCTGGTCCATTTTTTTTCTTTCCCTATGTCGTTTCTGTCTGTCTTTATTGCTTTTTTTGTTTGCACTAAACAATTATTTCTCTGTTGATATAATGCTTCTCTAACTCTTTATTCACACACCAAAAAATAAACTGTCCAGCATACATTGATACACAATTTGTATGTGTTGTATTTGTGTCTAAATCTTGTCTTTATCTTGTTTTATGTCATATTTCCTTTTTCTTTCGTCCACTCCGAGAGTTTTGGCTTTTCAACTTAATCAAGTTAATGGTGTCGACCTCTTAATGCAAAGAAAAAAAATCATGAGAACTGTATTCCCAAATGAATTCGTAGAAAATGCTGGACTTGATGACTGCGCATTGTCAAATATTTTATAGACCTTTGCAAGCCATAGCCTAACAGCTGAGTGAATAACCCTGCATACAGTCTTTCAGCTCTGTATTTCACTTCCACAAATTTTTACAACTGTTTCTGGCCAGTAGTGTTAGATTCTAGATAAATAAGCACACAACTGTACTACTGTTGACTGTTGGATCCTTGATTCCTGTATGTTTCAGGCGCGTATTGTGGTCGCACCGAGTATGAGGCGTACCCCAGTGGCTCACTCACCTTCAGTTCCCCTGGATTTACAAATAGCTTCAGAAGTGATGAGGGATATGATGTGTAAGTTTGTGAGTTTTGTTTTCTCCCTATCCGACTTTGTAGAGGTACAAGAAAAGTATTATATTTCAACTGTCAAGGAAAGAAGCAAAAGACAAATAAGAGTTGGAGCATTTGCATTAAGATTTTTATTTTGATAATGCATTTCTTTGAATTTCTTAGAATTTCTTTGACTATCTGTATTTTGATTTCACTTGCCTCTTACAAGAATAGAAGCAAATTTCTATCTCTGTTTTAGCTCCTTCAAACTGCCACTCACAACTTCTTTGATTGCTCAGCATTGAGTCATCTACACTCAAATGTTTTGGTGTTAAATTCAGACTCTGGAAACATGTTGTGCTTCCTGTGCCGACCCACAGTAAAGGTCTGTAAATTTATCTGGTATCAATTTTAAGGCGGCTTGATCTTGGCATGGCTAGATTGGGAAAGTATAGAACATTTTAATTTTGTTCGCTACTTCCCTGGAGATACAGGGTTGAGGCTAAGGAAATATAACGTACACCAACGTAGTTGAAGCTTTCTCACATACACTTTGTCAGAAGGTGTACAAAGTTTCTTTGATCAGCAAAAGGATATTCAGAATGTTCTTGAAGGAGGCTTATGAAAGGACAAATGGAAAAGGTCTAAATGTTTACTTTTGTTATCTTGGACCTGCTTTAGTCTTTCTTCATGTCCAGCTTTAATAAAACGTGAACTGATGAGCTGTAGGAAAATATTCCACTTTCTCATACCTTTCTTACAGACACTTTTCGTAAAGCGTTGTCTGTCTGTTTTTTTTAATACAATAGAAAAGATTTTTGCTTGCCGTATTTCTAGGCTCACCTGTCATGAAAATTACCAGTTGTGTGAAATAATCCTTCTCTTTTGTTACTTCTTTTGTTGAGCAGAAATGTCAACTTTGTGGCAAGCCCTACTACTATATAAATAAAGTATAGATTGTCTGGTTATCGCTAAACAGAAATCTGTAGTTTTTTATATTTTCAAACCCTTTTAATGGGAAGTAATGTGTCTTTTACTTGTTCTTTGTTTCTTATAATAAATGCCTAGCAAAAATCTGCTCTGGGAACGTACCTTCAAATCTACTCTTTCTGTAGAAATTTGCACTGTGAATAAACATTCACATTTTTTTCTGTAGAGAATTGCACTGCGAACGTTCATTCAAATCTGGTTAATTTTTTTTTTCTGTAGAAATCTGGACTGCGAGAATATACTTTGAAATCTTTTTTTTTTCTTTTTCTGTAGAAATTTGTACTGCGAATATACTTTCAAATCCTACTATGAGCGGGATGGCGTCAAACTGGTGGTTACAAAATCTAATATATCTCCAAGGACCAGATATGTCCGATGTACAGACAAAGTCAGAGTCTTTGATGGTAAGTTGGCAGAATGTACCCTTAGAAAAATGTGGGTCTTTTTTTTGTTTGTTTGTTTATTCCAAAACCAGGACTAGAATCCAGCTTTGCCGGCGTCTGTGGTGTAATGGTTGGGCACTTCGCTGTTGCTCACAGGAGACCTGAGTTTGATTCCTGAATGGGGAGAAATTTTTATCAAGCGTCTTGGTCTTTATGTTGGGAATGTTGTATCCCTCTCATCTCTGGATGGCCCTGACTGGCAGGGTGGGAAGTTCGTTTCCTAAATTATGTTAATTGTGTCTATGGTGGGGGGGGGGGCCTTTAAACACTTAAATGGAGAAATAAGGAAAAAAAAACCAACGTGGCCATTGTAGTCACTTCCATGCCCGTTTGTGGCAGTAACATATTGTTCTGAAAATTAAGTCTGTCATTTCCAAGGCAGAGTACTTATTCCTTGATCAGGACTTTGGAATTGGAAGAAACACTCAATGGAGGAGACAAGATATCTTGGACTTTTTTGAATTTGTCCCTCGAACTTTCGTTCAATTTGTTCCTTACTTAGTGTGCTCAACAGGTTTATTCGTAATGTAGTGTGCTCAACGTTCAATAGCTTCGTTCATTCTGTTGTGTGTTCCAACAGGTTTATTCATACTGTAGTGTATTTAACAGGTTTATTCATACTGTAGTGTGTTTAGCAGGTTTATTCATACTGTAGTGTGTTCGGCAGGTTTATTCATACTGTAGTGTGTTTAGCAGGTTTATTTATACTGTATTGTGTTCGGCAGGTTTATTCATAATGTAGTTGAATCAATAGGTATATTTATAATGTAGTGGGTTCAACAGGTTTATTTGTAATGTAATGCACCCAATTCGTAAGGAAGTGCACCATAGTTGCTGTGCAACTTTACTGTAGTTCCAAAAAAAAATGATCATAAGAAGAATATGGAACGGAATGGAACATAGTCTATTGGGGAGAGCAACCATATTTGATTTGACACTGCTTCTCATGGGTAGCCATATTTGGTAACACGTATTGTCCCACTCAGAATACCTTTTGCTCGGAGTCTAATGGTGAAGTACATTCTTAACACACCTCCATTAACTCTTTAAACCCTGAGTTTTTTTCATTGTTTCCTGAAGTTTTTTCTACACTATATCCCATTGTAACCAAAAGCTTGCATCCAACTTCTGAACGGCGGAAACAAAGGCTTAGTCATTATTTAAAAGCTTGGATTGGGATTAGTTCTGAAAAAGAAACAGAAACTGGCTCTAAATGAAATGAAACAGTTGTCACTAGTATCAGACACTCTGGATAGGGTATAAAGAGTTTAAAGAATAACTGAAGTGAAGAAGAAAAAAAAAATGAGCAAGCTTCTCTCGTTGTGGTGTGCAGGGACTTCAACTGACGCTGCCTTACTGGGTGAGTTTTGCGGGACAGAGACGCCGACGTTTGAGAGCACGGGCAACACCCTCCTCATGTTGTTCGAGACGGACAACGTGGACAACGACGATTATCGCGGCTTCACCTTAGAGTACGAGGCCCTGGATTGTGAGTTCTGTCACCTTTTTTTTCGTTTGTTTTTGGTTGTTGTCTGAGACATTATTTTGCTACGACTGATTGTGGATTCTTTACATCGACGCAGTTTCGATAGTTTAGGGGGCAGGCTGCTTTAATTCAACCCATCAGGTTTGTTTCAGGTTGATGGGATACTACAGTCCAGTGTAAGGATAAAGATATAAAGATGTGTTGTACAAGATGAAGATATGAAGATGTGTTGTACAAGATGAACATATGAGGATACCTTGTACAAGATGAAGATATGTGAATTAAGATATGTTGAATTAGATGAAGATAAGTAGATATCCTGTAAAATGTGAAGATATATGAATGAAGATATGTTGTACAACATAAGGATACGAAGATACCCAGTACAAGATGAAGATAATATAGGAATGAAGATATGTTGTACAAGAAGATATGAAGATGCCCTGTACAAAATGAATTTATATGAAGATACTCTGTACAAGATAAAGATATGACGATATTCTGTACAGGATAAAGGTATCAAGATACCTTGTAGTACAATATGAAGATATAAAGAGACCCTGTGCATAATAAAGATATGAAGATACCTTTCAGTACAAGTTGAAGATATGAAGATACCCTGTACAAAATTAAGGGGGGGCCTAAAGGTTAAGGTGTTTGCCTCTCATTCAAAGGTCCCGGGTTCGAATCCGGGTAGCAACAGAAAAATTTTCTTCTAAAAATTTTCTCTTTTCACCTCCTTTCCAGCTCTCTAACTATGTTCTGTCGTCTACTTTCGTCTCCTCTTTCTGACCCCACCCCCTCTCCTCCTTTGTCCCTTTCTCTGGGCTCCTGACTCTTTCTGCAGCCTTTCTACTGCTACTCCTTGGCTCCTTCTTACTGCTGTCTTTCAGCCACACCCCTAATCTTCTGGTAGGAAAGATCTACACCTAGTAGAGTTGGGGCGAGCGGACGGACGGGTTCGTTACTCGCGGACTCAGTCAGAGCGAACGGGTAACGGACGGCCATGAGAGCGAACTGCGAACCTCAAGACAGTTCGATTTTTGGGTCCGCTCCACAATTTGACTCTCTCAGGGAGCGGACTGTGGACCTCAAGCCTCAAGTCAGTTCATTTTTTGGGTCCGCTCCACAATTTTATTCACTGGGCGGGCGGGCGAACGGACGTACTCTAGCAGGCGAGATACTCGACGCGAGATTAGACCCATCGTCTATTGTTTGTTAATTAGGCCTGATGTTTCAAACCACTAGCGGTGCCACAGGGAGTGAGAGAGGCTGGTGACGTAGTACTATGAGTGTTACCTTTCACCTCATGCGTGGGGCACACTGTGTACGTTCCTATTATCGCAAAGGCCGGGGGGGGGGCGGCGGAAATATCCGCCGTGAACGCCTAGCTACAATGTGAGGCAGGAGGGTGATTTTTTAATTAATTATTTATTTTTTTTTGGGGGGGGGGGGGGCGGGGGGTTGTAAATTGTAGGCAATGGAAGGAGTCGTTCCCGTCCGTCCGTCCGCCAGCTCGAATTCATGGAGTCTCTCGGTCCGCCCGTCCGCTCGCTCGCTAAACGAACTGTTGTCTCTGTCCGATGTGTAACGAGTAGCGAGTAGCGAACTACTCTTCACAAACGGACGGTTCGTTACCCGTCCGCTCGTTTGTGGGTAGTGCCAGCGGGTAGTTCGTTACCCGCGGACGCTAATTTTGCGAGCCCGACCCAACCCTAACATCTAGCCTTCTATGACAAGGGCGAAAAATCTCGGAGGACCCGTGTGCAAGTTGCGCCTGTTAAAGATCCCTTAGTGGTCTGAAATTGATTAGAGTAGGCTTCGGCCGCCACCCGAGCAAAATTCAAAATTTCCTACCGACTGAAAAAGTTTAATGTGTCCCGCGCACTCATATGATCTTATGCAGTTGCGAGTGCCGTAAAACACTTACCAAAAACAAGGCAAAATGAAGATATTAAGATACCTTGTAGTATATTATGAAGATATAAATTTAAAGATACCCTGTAGTATAGTCTGATGAAGAAATATTGTAGAACAGTCTGCACGATAAGGGAAGAGGTTGTTTTTGCGGTAAAAGATGAAGAACCTAATCATTGTACCATTGTTACTGGTTCACATTTGTTTTTTTGTGCAGTCAAATCTGCTATAGAGGCCACCTATCCAAGACAATCACTTGTTTAATTTAAACAAGCACATCCCACTTGCTTCTTTTCTGATTTTAATAACATTGTCCAAGAGAACCACTTTTCTCCTCTACAATGGATTGCCATCTCGAACAATTTTGAGTGATTTTGTATAAATATATTTGCCATTCAAAAGGAATACTTCTTTTAAAATGTTTGAAAAGCTAGTCTATAAAATCAAGCAAGAAAAAGGTAGATCATTGTTTTGCGACCTTTGATCAAAATGAATGTGTTTCACTTTGTCAGCAATAAGAGTTTGAAATGGTGTCTTTGACTCAGAATGTTTTGATACCCTATATTTTGTCTGTATTATTGTCTGTGTTGAAGGTAAAGCTTTAATAAATAAATGGTTTTTAAAAGCATGCAGGTGGTGAATCAGATAACCAGCTTTTTTCTAAACTCTTTTCTTTTTTGGATACAAATGATAATATGTGTATATACGTATGTTATGGATAGATAGATAATTGCATTGAGGTTTTTTTGTACAAAGTGGCAGTTGCTGTTTATGGATAAACTGAGAGATAACATACTAGAGGTACTTCTGTACTAAGTGACCATTATTAAAGTTCTTACATACAAAAACTGTCAGAAAAAGAGGAACAGAACATATTTTTCTTTTTCTCACAAAAATGGTTCTTTGCAAATGATGTAGGATGCTGCTTTATTGGGTGGAATCTTTTAAAAATATTGATGTTCAAACAGCTTCTGCTTTTCTATATTTAAGTAAGATTGAAGCTTCCTGGATTTCCAAACCATGATTTATTGGCTTTTGTATTTTCTTTTTCTTTTGTATCCCTTTTTTTTCCTAGGGGGCGGATCTGAGTCGTCGTCGTCGTCCTCATTTAGTAAGTAGCTTTATTGTTGTATTCTCTTCAGAGAATTATGTGTGACATGCCTTTAGTTAGTAGTGTGTCCTCTGTCTGTTCAGTTCTTCTGACTTTCTTTCTGTTTAACCAGTATAGGTGGTGTTGGCAGCTTATTGGTTAGGCAACCTGACCTGTAATCGTGAGATTGTGGGTTTGAGGATTCTAGCCTCATCTTGGTTCGACATGACCTTAGAAAAGACACTTTACATGAATTTTTCATATAGGTCAGTCCATTTTAGATGGATGTTAAACTCAGCGGTCCCGTCTGTTGAACAGCCTAATAGTGTTGATTGGAGCATTAAATGTTTACAGTTAAATATCAACCATTATAGTACTGTACTCAGGGCTCATAGTATTCTATTCTTAGACTGTGGCTGTATGGGGCTGGTGAATCATGAAGTTGGTATACACTTATGTGACTACCTCCTGATGAAATCACCATCATGGGTGGTTGTCGGGTGCTCTGATGTGGTTTGCTCCTTTCTTATCAGACATCTTTATCTCTCCGCCTTTTTAAAAATGTTGGTTACTTTGTTGATGATCTTATTATGTTGCAAGTGCCATACAGTAGTCTCCGCTTAAACGCACGGTGCTCGGGAGGGCTCCTTAGCGTGTGTTTATATGGAGAGTGCGTTTACATAACCTTTGCAAGGGGAGGAAGGGACGCAGTCATCTCAATTCCTTATTACTCTAGTGACCTCCATTGGAGGAGGGGGTCATTTTGGCAGATAATGGGACGACACACGTGTCTGTTTTGTGAAGGATTCCGTGACAGAGGTAAAGAATACAAAGGCGTTGAAGGGGAGGGAGAAAGACAGACTCAACGTAATGAATATGCACTGTAAACGTCGGGAACAGATAGCCTAAGAGGAAACTGTTGGTCATAGTCATTGAGACGACGGACCAGCCACGAGGCTTTTCAAGCAGCCACCCACGACCATAAATTCAGGCAGAATCATTCTCTACGTTCAGAGAAACATTTTCTCTTGTGATTCGTGGAACAAGTACGTTATAAGTTCTTCGAGCGCAGCTTATTAGGCTTACTTGGTTAATCTTTAAACCTATAGAGGCCCGTCTAGGGTTTTTCGGCATTTACGCATGTCGCGCATCAGGCTTCGATCTAGATCGAACTAAACATTACATGCAGTCACCCAAACACCAGTCAGAAACCTTCTCTCAAAGATACATTTCCAGTGACCAATCAAAAAACTTTTCAGTCCCCCCAAACCCCCCCGCCCCCCCCAACATTTAACCGACCAGCCCTAGACCGAGACGTATGCATCAGTGGAAAATTGGGTGTGAAAACGCTGTCCATCACTTTCTTTGTCCGGCGTGAGAAGTACTCTCACCAAATTCGGTTTTCTAGTAAATTCTAAGCTTGTCTTATGCAAGCTGTGCGGGTTGTGAAAATTCCCCCTTGCCAAGGGTGTGTTTCGCGGATCGGAGCGTGCGTTTAGAGGGAGTTACCGTGCGTTTGTACGTCTAAATTATACAGTAAAAAACTCGTCAGATGACGAAAGCGTGCGTTTGAGCAGAGCGTGCTTTTGTATGGCGTACGTTTAGGCGGAGACTACTGTAAAACTCTTAATAAAGGAAAAGCTAAGCCATCATCTTTTTACTCCTGCTTTATCAGATACTGAGATAAATTTTGGTCTGATTGCCTAAATAGAACCTGATACTTTACCTATGGATAACTCAAGCTTCTTTGCTTTTTGTGTAACAGTTTATTGTATTTTTTAGGGATATTTTTGCTTATTTTGTAACAGTTAATTGGTACCTTGAGGGATATTTACTCACTCTTTTCAGGTAGAACTGTATTACTTGACAGCTACATTTTGTATGGTTGAGAAAGAAGGATGAGAGTAAAAATATGGGAGAAGGAATTAAATTTCTTTATTTAAAAAAAAATGCACAGGAGGTTTTGTACGGATCTGTAGAGGACAAAGGAAGGTGGAATAGTTGTTTTGGTTTTAAAAAATTTACTTTTCTTTATATTTGACCAATGTGATGCTGCTCTTTATGGCTGAAGGCAGTCTGTTATTTAATGTGAATAAGTCATTTTCACAGGTAGTTGGCGGTGCTCTGGTGTGGTTTCCTCCTTCTTTCCTGTCGAACATCTATCATTATCATCTCTCCTTCTTTTTTGTATTTTTTAAACTCTCTTTTAACTCCTAATCTTCGGCACTTATATGACCTTATTGTGCTGCAAGTGTCGTAAGACTCTTCAAGCTAAAACTTAAGTCACCTTCCGCGCACCATACTCAAACTGTTTTGTTTCCATACCACAGGTGCAGGCACCATTGTGGCTGCGTGCATTCCTGCTATTGTGATTTATGCCATTCTCTTCCTAGTCGTCTACAAGAAGTGCAAGAATGCTCAACGAGTAAGCTTGTGTTGTTTGTCAGCCTGTTGAGATCACCCTGTTGCTAGTTCCGATTCTGGAAATGTTTTACAGTGATGTTTCTGTGACTAGCAGAATGAACTGCTTCATACTGTCAGCAAGTGGGTGGTTGGCGGGTGCTCTGGTGTGGTTTGCTTCTTCTTTCCTATCAAACATCTATCGTCCTTATCTCCCCTTTTTCTTTTTTTATGTTTGTTACTCTCTTGTGACACCTCTAATCTTCTGGCGCTCATTTGACCTTATGCAGTTGCGAGTGCCGTAATACCTCTACTAAAACTAAAACAAATACTGTAAGCAAGCTGTTCATTTGTTCTAAGACCAGAAAGGAAAATTTGTCAATAGAGAGTATACAATTGTGTCACGATCAGGCGCTCCTCAGTTTTTGGGCATGTGGAGTTATTGGTATCATCTTAAAGGGTGTTCATTTGCCTTGCTTTCAATGAAAAGAATGTCTTTTTATCTCGAATAGAAGTCGACATATTTGCGATTGAAGGAGGTGGGGGTCAACTGGTTTCAATGGTAAAATTAGCAAGAAAACGGCCGGCAAAGTTTGGTGACTTCCATAGCTTAAGAGTCCTTGGAAACTGAAAATCAAAATCTGTTGTGGCTTTAATCAATGTTTTTCCATAAAATCCTCACGTAAAAGTGTTTTTGAATAGACATACAAGATGTTGAGTCAAAAAACAAAAATTTGAAAAAAATTTCAAAATTTGCCTAAAAATGCTGATTTCTCTGATTTCTTTATTTTGACGAGCGCCTGATTTCACCTTGATGCCTCACAATTTTTTATTCTTTTAAAAACTGTGTTGAGGGTGGGTGGAGGGTTTCACAAGTAAGTACTATTTCTTTACTTTCGCTGTTATTTTTGTCTGTCTGTCTTACTTTTTCCCCAGCATTAAATGACCATTATATTGTCGATGTGCTTCTCTTTACTTCAACAAACAAAAAACTGTTTACTCATATATCATATCTTGCTGTCTTAGACAATTAGAATTAGAATTTTTACAAAAAATATTCATGAGCATGTACAGAGGGACCTGATACAGTCGACTACACTTGTAGCAATGTCGTTGGGGGACCAGATAAAAGATCGACCTCCCTCCGGGGCAGTGCCACTGACTGTAGTGTCTTTAGGCCATTCCCAAAGGGGAGACATTTCTCGTTCAAGCATAGTAGAATTGTAAATGGGCTGACTCATGTCACGCTCATAACTGTGCCTGATCTACAACAGGGAACTGCTGCTTTTTCTTTCCTGATCCTTACTATTGTCATTTTCGTCTACTTCTTTTGTATGTTTGTTACTCTCTTGTGACCTGCTATTTCCAGGGTGCCTTGATAGTCGAAGCAGACCTTGTGCTGTTGAAGCTAGAGAGGTGAGCAGTCTAAGTGTGATTCCCTGTAAAGACTTCTCTGTTGACACCCACCCCTTGGCGCTCATATGACCTTATGCAGTTGCGAGTGCCATAAAACCCTCTACTATTTAAAAAAAAATAAATCGTTTCATCCAAAGTTCGCAACAGCGAAAAATTCTAGGGAAATAATCCCAGTAGCCAACCTCACTGTAGTTGTCCCTTATGGTGCTAGGCGAAGTGAGAGAGAGGCAGAATTGTGTTCGCTTCGGCGCTTAGCATAGCCTATAATGTTATCAATAGTATCGGGAGGTTGATGCCTCGTGCTATTGTGTGAATGTGCGTAACGTTACAAAACATTATCGGGTTCATCAATGCCAGGTCAAAATTAACCATGGGGGAAACATCGTTAAAACCGTTATATTTTTGCAATTAACTATATGGGCCGGGGATAAGAATAGGCATCACAACAGCCGTCACAACGGATGAAGTGAATTCAGTACAAACGTTTCAATTTTATTAAGTTTGTGTTACATCGGTGCCCGTTCCACGGAAAAAGATCGCAATGTCTGAAGGTCTTTACAACCAACTTCGCTACAAGGGGAGTGGACTGTACCTCAGATTAAGAAACTAGCGTGAAACAGCCTGTTGGACAAATGTGTCCGACATGTCGGCTATGAGTGAACAGCATCAGACAGATATTGTTGTTATTGTCTGACTAGCTCCCCCCCCCCCCCTGTGGTCTGATGTCGTTTGATTTGTGCTTGGTGGTTGTTTTTTTGTACAGATCCGCCGGAACTTGGCGGCCACCGGCCACACACCGGAAGATCTGCGGAATGCCATGGTCACCATGCTAGACCAAGCTAGTCGGGGGCCTCTCCTCACCCCACAGCAGCGACAGCAGCACCGGCGGTGTCGCGAGCCCATCCCACTCACCAACATCATGATGTCACACATGGACGCGTCTGCAGCCTCTCATCAGGCCGAAGAGTCGCGGAGAAGAGGCAGGGTTCGGCACCCAGCCGGGGACATCAACGCAGAGCCCATCAGTGTCGAGGAAATGCCGCCACTCCTGCAGACGGACCAGAATGGCCGGGATCCAGATCATCATCACCTTCATCATCATCATTATCACAACCATCATCAGCACCGCTCGAGATCGGCAGGTCATCGGCACCATTGTCCTCCTGAAGGTGGCTCGGGTAGCCGGAGTCACTCGCCGCAAGTGTTCACCCCGGACCCTTCAGGTGTGTATTACGAGGGCGACATAGATGAGCACGGAGTTTTACACCCGTGGCACCAAGGAGGAGAAGAAGAAGAAGAAGAAGGAAACGTCGGCTACCACCCCCATCCTCTGCGTCACCCGGCACCATCATCGTCACATCCTGCTGCCCCTTCTTCTTCCTCCTCAGGGCATCACTACTTAAACCACACGCACCTGGAGGATGACCGCCGGTCAAGACACAGTGGTGGTGGTGGACGGCATTCTCCATACACAAGTGGCCAGGATTCCCCTCATGGCAGTGTCAGTGGTCGCGGGTCACCCTACAGACACCGTAACTCTCCGCGGATTCCTACGCCTCTTGATGCTGAAGGTCAGACGCTGACCTACTACGGGATGATAGACCAGGGTGAAGGGCAGGCGGCACCACCGCCACCACCCCCTGTGTATGTTATTTCCCCTCAGGAGGACATCCATACCAGTGACATAGACTTGACTGCGCCCCCTCCCTCGTATGAGGATGCTGCCAGCGGGAAATATGCACCGAATCCATAATCCAACTATGTGTGTGTATAGTTCATACTTTAGCTTCCAGCATCCTTTTTGTAGGGTTAGACATAATTTTGTTGTCAAATACTTTTAATTTGGTTTAAATGGTATCCCAACGTTTAGACCCCTATTTTTGTCTTTTTTTTAGATGTTTACATGGAAATCATCACGCTTTTGCACTGTTTGAGAGAGAGCAGTCATTCTTTTTTTTATCATTGTAGCATTGTTGGTGATCAGTCACTGTAGAAGGTTCAGGGGCTGGATAGGCATGGATCAACTCTTGGTATCAACAGAAAAGACGTGTGCCACTTTTCTGGAACTTCCTCAGATTGATCAAAAATGGAATGTTAAAAGTTTTTCTGTGATCGCAATCGCTTTTTTGCAGAGCGCTTAATGATGGTAAAAGTTTATGCCTTTTTTTATTTATGTGATGTCAACACCTCTTTGTTGCCTATAATCCTGAAAATTCCATTTTTTGAGAAGGAGACACAGGGCACAACGAAAAAGATGGATTGATGACCACTTACCCCTGAAAGTGTAGAATGTCTGAACATTTCCTTCTGAACAGTTCATCAGTGGGATCTACTATTTCTTAATCTCTGTCTAGCAAATTCTAGAAGTCTTGTTAGGTCAAGCAGTCTCCTCAGTTCATGATTTCGTTTTCTTCAGGTGTGTCACTTCTCTGTGTGTTTTTCTTAGATCCAATAGGTCGGTAAATTTACTTTTACTTTTCCAGCGATCCTATAGATCTAGGTCTATAATAAGTTTACTGTATGTTTTCCATAAATTTAGTTCATAGTTCCGAAAAGTTTTTTTTATAACTCCCTTTCTCTCAAAGTTAGTAGCAATGTCTTTAATATTATTTTGCAGCTTAAAAGCATAAATCTTGTATCAGCTTTGCTTTTAATTCCATGCTCAGGAGTTCTGTATGTGTTCAGTCTTGTGAACCTATTTTTAAATTGAATGCTCATTCTTATTTGACACGGTCATATTTTTTTTGCTTGTAGATTGTTTTCCCATTATTTGATTGAGAGTGAGAAGGGTTGAAACCAATTATTTATGTGTGAACAATTTTATCTGGCTGAGTTGGTGAGTTGAATGTTGGTGTGGTAGGTAAAACAGAAATGGATGCAACCTTCTGCGTTGTATTGGTTGTGAGACTCAAGCTGTGTTCATTTCATCATTGTTAGTAGGTGAATTCAGAGAGCGGTTTCATGTCAAATTTATGTGCTTTTTGGTTACTAGCAAATTTTTTATTTGTAAGAATGGTAATTCTTATTTTATGTACTCGAGTAGCATGTGTGTCTTTTGTCTGTGTATGTATATATTATTTGTAGATATGTGTGTGTGTCACAGTGTGTGAATGTGCCTGTTTGTACGCATGCAAATATATGTTTGCATCTTCACATATAGGGTGCTGCTCATCAGTTCTTCCTTTTTTATTTACAGGATACTGCTGGTTGCTGTTCCCTTTTTCTTTACAACATTTAGTTTTTTTGTATCTTCCCGAACCTTAGCTGATGTAAAAACCTTAGACGTACGCACACACAAATTTCTCAACATTTTTTTTTTATTTGCATCTTCCCAAACTTTAGACGTAAACACACACGAAGTTCTCCGTGGTTTTTTTTTTGGTATCTTCTCAAACTTTAGATGTACACACACAAAGCTGTCGCCCTTTTCTTGTTGTTTATCCTCGAGTTTTTTTCACAAAGTAAAGACCTCTTTGTTTTGTTGAACAGTTTTGGTTCACACTTTTTCTTAAATCAGATAAAAACTTAAGATGAAGTTCAAAATAGTGTCACCACGAGGTGGAATCTGGCGCTCGTCAAATTTTGGGCTTATGGGGTTACAGTAGTCTCCGCCTAAACGCACGCCATACAAAAGCACGCTCCGCTCAAACGCACGCTTTCGTCCTCTGACGTTTTTTTTTACTATATAATTTAGACGTACAAACGCACGGTCACTCCCCCTAAACGCACGCTCCAATCTGCGAAACACGCTGACAGGTACAGCTTGACTAAGGGAAATTTCACTACGACCACTGTACGGTCTGCATAGCTTGCTTAAGACAAGCCTAGAAAACCTGATATTTTGCGAGACTGTCCCTTACGCCGAACAAAGAGAGTGATGGACAGCATTTTCACACACAGCTTTCCAGACACATAGGTCTAGGACTGGTTGGTGATATATTGGGGGGTTGGGGGACTGAAACGTTATTTGATTGGTCACTGGAAATGCATCTCTTTGAGAGAAGGTTTCTGACTGGTGTTTGAGTGACTGCGAATTGGCTAATGTTTAGTTAGACCAAAGCCTATAATGCGCAACACGCGTGAGTGCTCGTTCCTGAATTTACAGTCGGGGGTGGTCGCTTGGAAAGCCACGCGGCTGGGCTGTCGTCTCTATGACTATCACCATCAATTTCTTTTTAGGCTATAGGTTCCTGACATTTTATGGTGCCTTCATTACATCGAGTCTGTCTTTCTGCCCACCACCACACACCCACCCATTCAATGCCTTAGCAGTCTTAACCGCAGTCCGGGAATCTTTTACAAAACAGTCACGGGTCGTCACATTATCGGCCCAAAGTGACCCCCACCCCAAAGGGAGGTCACTAGAATATCAAGGCAATGAAATGACTGCGTCCCTTCCTCCCTTTGCAAAGGTTCATGTAAACGCACGCTCCGTATAAACACATGCTAAGGAGCCCTCCCGAGTACCGTGCGTTTAGGCGGAGACTACTGTATCTTAAACCTTGTCTGTTTGTTCATCTTTTGATGAACAAAATATCCATCTATCTGGAATAGAAGTCGAGATATTTGAGATTAAAGGAGGTGGGGGTAGCCTGGTTTCAGAGGTAAAACTAGCGAGAAAACGGCCGCCAAAAGTTAGTGACTTCTGAAACTTGAGAGTCCTTTGGAACTGTAAATATATATTTGTGTGCCTTTAATTACTGTAATCATTTTTCAGTAATATCCACATAGCAATGGGTTTTTAAATGGACATAAAATGTGTTGAGCAAAAAAACACACCAAAAAATTGATAAAAAATTGCCAAAGGGGAATAAAAATGCTGTATTGTTTGATTTTAATTCTTTTGACGAGCGCCTGATTTCACCATGATACCTCACATTTTATCAATGGTGCTTTGCTTAAACTGTAATTGAAATAAACTGGTCAAAGAGGCTGTTTGAATATAGTTTCAGTGATGCTGGGCAGTTATTGAAAGAGCATGGCATATCGCTACCTGAGAATTACGAAGTTCTATCTGCTCAGTACCTAGTTTTGAGAAATTTGATGTCAAAGATTTTGAATTTCACGTCATGTCAAGCTTTTTTTGAATGCTGTTCTTTGAATATCTTGATATGGTTGACTCCAAATTATCTAACGATTTTGATAGAGCAGATAGAACATTTGTTTTCTTACCTCATGGTCTTAGTATTTCAAAATGGCAAAAAATGTCAGATAGAACTTTGTAATTCTGAAATAGCGGTATGACACTTTAGGCCTACCTGTAGGAATGAGTTGAGGTTGACCTTTTTTTTTCCCCGATGGCTTTGAGAGTGAGGAGAGTAGTGGGTGAGTAAACTGTATCATCCCTTGAATTCCAACTTGTTATATGTGAGGCAGCGTGGTGGAATCAGGCTCTCGTCAATTTTTGGGCATGTAGAGTTATTGGTATCATCTTAAAGCTTGTTCACTTGTCTCTATTTGGTTGAAAAAAATATCCATTTATCTTGAATACAAGTCAAGATATTTGCAAAAGAAGGAGGTAGAGGTCACCTGTTTCAGAGATGAAATTAGTGAGAAAATGACCGCCAAAGATTAGTTATTTCCTTGGCTTAAGAGTCTGTGGTTTCTGAAAATTTTAATGTACATTTTTTGTGCCTTTAATCAGCGTTTTTCAGAAAAAAGCACACAGACATGAGTTCTTTAATGGGCATGAAAGGTATTGAGCCAAAAAAAAAAATAAATAAAAATTCATAAACCTGCGGAAAAATGCAAGTTTCTTCACTTTGATTATTTTGACGAGAGCCTGATTCCACCACGCTGCCTCACATATGGGAGAAGATAGAAACCCTGATGGTCCTGTGTCATTTACTTTTTGGATTTGGAAGGGGAGGGGGGGGGTTCCCCCTCTGTGAAAACCCCAAGATATTTCTCTGTAACTCAAATGAAAAAGATGTCTGAATAGTGCGTATGGTTGTGGAAAAAGTGTGTTCTGGGTTGTTTGTTTTTTTGTCTCGAGATTTAAGGTATTTTGCTATTTCCCTTTTATGTTGCATCATTTAGGCCACTATCTCTAAGGATGACTCTTTCTCTTCCTGTACTTTTGAAGTTACTCAATTTTCATGTGCCTGTGTTACTGAAATTGTTCTATGATATTAAGCATTGATTCGGATTCAAGTTTATGCATGTTTTCATTATTTAATTTTGGTGAGGTAGATCGGAAAAGCATGTGCACAGAGTAAAGGTTCAAAGTTTCGATGGAAGCTGTGCAGTATAGCTCTAGTACCAAATTTTCTGCAGCTTTGTTTAACATTTTTTGGTGAAAATCCGCCCATGTGACTTTCCAATGTACGGTTATGTGAGGAATTTCTATTAGACTGTATGCTGATGTGTTTGCAAGGTCATAACAAAAGTCTGTCGTGGGCATTTCTTATCTGAGAATTATTTTGCTGGTGTTGACATTTTCACCTTTGGGGTTACAAATTTTTACAATGATATTTAGAGCAATTTGTGATCGACAAATACGAAGATCTGAATGGGAAAAATCTCTTTGGTTTCTACCTCCCAACATCTTATATTTATGCACAGAATTACATCCATGTAAATGTTCTCATACTGATGTTGGCATGTCCATGCACGTGCATTCATACACACTCAGGAAAAACACAATCACAGACTGACACATGCGTACATACACTCGCAAATATGCACCCGCCCACTCAAACACACATATACACATATAATGTGTACACACACACAAGCACTCAGGAAAAAGACAATCACAGACTGACACAACCCGCTGATACGCACCTTGCTCACTCAAACACACATATGCATATGTACACACACATAAATACTCATATAATATGTTCAAACACAGACATCTCCACCTCACGGGGCAGTGCCACTGACTGAAGTGTCTTTAGGCCATTCCCGAAGGGGGGACATTTCTCGTTCAAGCATAGTAGAATTGAAAATGGGCTGACTCATGTCACGCTCATAACTGTGCCTGATCTACAACAGGGAACTGCTGCTTTTTCTTTCCTGATCCTTACTGTTGTCATTTTTCTCTACTTCTTTTGTATGTTTGTCACTCTCTTGTGACATGCTATTTCCAGGGTGCCTTGATAGTCGAAGCAGACTTTGTGCTGTTGAAGCTAGAGAGGTGAGCAGTCTAAGTGTGATTCCCCGTAAGGACTTCTCTGTTGACACCCACCCCTTGGCGCTCATATATGACCTTATGCAGTTGCGAGTGCCGCAAAACCTTCTACTACTACTCAGACATCTCCACAGCACTGGCTTTGTTTCCGTTGTACGATATCCCTGTTGTTCTTGTCTATGAAAAGTTCGCTTTGTAGTTTGATAAGATTTTGTCTCTCTCTCAACCTAAATTCAAGCTCATGGCTGACTTAAATGAAGAGGAATAACAAATGATGCTTCCAAGTTACTGACAGAAAACTTTTCCAGGTGAAAGGTGTGTGTATTTCTATGTATGTGTTTACTGGTAGTGGCCTATACTATATATGTGAGCATCTCTACAAAACAAGCGTGTGTGATTTTGTGTGCGCGCGCTTGCGTTTCTTTTTTGTTTGATCATCTTAACATTTAAAAAAAAATGATACCATTGGCTGTGTGGTGACCAGTGTCCGCTGTGAAAAAATGTACATTTTTTGGTTGGTTTGTGCTCTATCAGGAAAAATGATGTGAGTTAGATAGAACTATCTCATGTCTTTTCAACTCTGGCAAAAAAAAGTGTACCAAACAAGATTATGTCTCCATGTCTGTGTACAGTCATACTTTGTATGGGTTTAGCCGTGTCCATATGAACATCTGACTGTTGATCCATTATAGGGTCTTGTATTTTTAACATTTTGTATATTATATGAACAGTTTGCGGCAAACGCCATTTTTAAAGTTTGGCTGAAAATAGTACCTTCAAGAAAGGTGAGGCTTATTCCTGTATAAGCTTGTTTTTCCATAAAACATGACTGTTCCACTTTAAAGAACTGCAGAAAGGTACGCTTTTTACACAAAACGGGACAAAAGAGGGAGACCTTTTTCGACAAACTGCGACATATCCTCTGTGTGCCAATCAAGAACTTATCTCAAGTCATGTGATTTGGCTTGCAGTCGACAAAAGTTTGTTGATGGTTCTTTCTCTTTGTTCTTTTTGCAATGTGGATGTGTCACATTTTGTCAAAAATGTATTGAGGTCTCTTTAATTTAATGAATAAAAATCCCAACATAGATTTCAACGTACAACAAATATCATCTGAGCCTAACATCATGTTTACTCTAAAAAGAAAGCAGCTCAAGATTATGCAGTAAATGGGTGAAGAACAGAAATCTCGAAACCAGAAAAATGGATCAGTTGCATTTAATTTTGTTGTGAGACTGTACATAATAATATAATGGCCACCCATTGTCAAGAAGAAAACACTGGCCTTTTAAGACAGGTAACCATCTTCTACACTGTCATTCATTATGATGTAAAAATTAAGGAAAAGAAAGGGAATTAAGGAAAAGAAAGGGCTGGGGGGGGGGGAGTGCCTATTTGTGTGTGTGTGTGTGTGTGTGTGTGTGTGTGTGTGTGTGTGTGTGTGTGTGTGTGTGTGCGCGCATGTGTGTGTGTGCATGTGTGTGTGTGTGTGTGTG